ACCGAGTATGAAATATCGTTTCTCGCTGTGCGGTCTCGTCCGGGTTGGTCATAGCGCTAAGAACTCGTCGGGTAACCAAGAGTTCTCCGCTATCGGGATACTCAATCTCTTCCTCGAGATCCCCCGCCTCCTCCTCGTCTAAAGACTCATACTCTCCCTTATCGGTTATAATCATTACTCGGGAGTTTGGACAATCACGGGCCATGTGTCCTCTACCTCGACACTTATAACACATAATCTCCCTAGTTCTAGTGTCACGAGGAGCGTCATGGGTGGGCTTAGTTTGCGATGTTTCAGGGGATTTTCCTTTTTCCCGATAATCACGGTTGCCACGGTTCTCGGGGAGTTCCTTTCGGGGCATGACCGACGGTTTGGGTATTGGCGAGGAAAGACTAGGAGGAGTTTTGAGCTTACTCAGCCGGGTTTGTTTCCTTTGGTTTTGCTTTCCAATTTGCACGACTAGGTGCAGAAGCTCATGGAGATTGCGGTACGGATGGCGCTCGACCTTTCGGGCAATACGCTCGTTAAGTCCATCGAGAAATTGGGCCATCACCGCCTCCTCGTCCTCATCTAATTCCAGCCGACTCCTAAGGTGCTCGAATTCTTCAAAGAATTCTTCCACTGTCCTAGCACCTTGTGAAATTCTCTGATACTTACGTTGGAGCTCTCGGTGGAAATGAGGAGGTACATACCGTTTACGCATCAATACCTTCATTTCTCTCCATGTTTCGACCGGCTCTATGTGAGCACGTTGTCTCTCGTTTGCCTCACGATCCCACCATGCTAAGGCGCTCTCGGCTAGTTGAGCAGCCGCATATTGGACTTTCTTACGGTCCGAATTTGAGTAACATTCGAAAATGAAATCCATGCGACGCTCCCAATCTAATTAGGCCTCAGGATCTACCCTTCCTATGAACAAAGGTGGCTTAAGCTTAAGATCAGCCCCTTGTCTCCCATGTTGTCGATGTTCACGCTCTCCTTCTTCCTTGACAACGTCGGCCCACCTAGGTGGTCTTGCTCTAGGATGAGGGTGTTCTCTAAGTCCTGGTGTTTCACTAGCATCAGACCCATCTTCACGTATCCTATCTCTTGGTCTAAGGGGTCTAAGCGGTGGATCGTCGTATTCCGACTCCTCGTCGGAAACTCGAGCCCGGGGCCTATGGCCTCTACGTCTAGGAGGGTATCTCCTTTCAACGATTTCTTCTACTACCCTCTCTCTCGGTCTAGGGGCTCTACGTCTATGGTAATCCTCACGATCAGTTATCTCCTCGACAACCCTCTCTCTTGGTCTATGTCATGGTCCTACATCACTCTCGTCGTCACTAAGGGATTCGGGATTAGGGTCTCGGGTTCGTCTAGGACGAGCTAGCGGTTCTCTAGGGCGAAGTTCGGGAGGTGCA